TTTCTGTTGGGTGTTTGGGCCACTACCCGTGGTTTTGCTGGTCGGTCCACACTGTGTAATAGTCTTTGATTATTATAAAATTTACGTTAGATGGACAGTGGCGCTCACCTTAATAGCACACTTTTATGTTTCACAATTTTCACAATGTTTTACGTGATATATACTATATGGTTTATGTTATAGAATCTACTATATTTTTATAAACAATTAACGAAAAAAATTTATCACGTAAAACAGTGTGAAAATTGTAAAAAATAAAAGTGTGCTATTAAGGTGAGCGCCACTGTATATATGTATATAGATATGTAGCGTTCAAACTTTTTTTATTTAGTACATAAGTTTTGTTTATTTGTGATGAATTGTTTTAGTTTTTGCCTTGTTTTCTTTTCTTAAGCGAAGTACAAGAATGTGTATATATTTTTTAGTTATTTTCCCCTTAAAATAAAAATACTGGTTTTGTGATATAATCATATTTTAAATATTGGTATTTTTATTCCTTCTGTTTATGTACTTAACTTTTCACGCTTATTTTGATACATATTTACATGTGTGTATGTAAAAGAATGAAAATGAGATCTGTAGTACATACATACACACATTCAATTGTAGTTTATGAAAGTGAAATTTCAAGCAAATGCTTTTTCTTAAAATTGTATACCTTTCGCTTAAATTTATTTATTCGAAGATTAAACCATTGGTAGGCTACAGGTTTAATGTGAACTTTACCTTTGTTAGTTTCTGTGCTCATGGTGTTTGAGAGTGCCACAGCAGTTGCCAAAATTTTATCATCATTCGAAACATTTTCCTCTTCAGCTAATGCAAATAACCAGAGTTGGGCATTATTCGAATAAATTGTTATTTAGATAATTATTCGAATAAAATTTTATCCGTAATATAATTATCGCAGATAACTCATTCACGAATAAATTATTCGTGAATAAATTGCTTTCGAATAATTTATTCGTTATTTTATTCGTTATTTTAAATAATGAATAAAAACTAATTTTTAACACATTGAGCCACCTTTTACTTTTATTTCTATTGTCAAGGATTGTAAGTTAGCTGAATTTTGTTTACTATTTTATCAAGAATACTAGCCCATTCCTATGGTTTCGCGGCCCCTGATAAGATTTTTTGCGTTGGCCAATGCAAGAATAGCGTTGAAAACCAAATATGGGTAAAGTAAAAATTCTCACACATATTTCTGCCAAAAAAATAGCGCTCTGATGCTTTATGCAAGAAAAAATTCCTTTCAATGTCATGAGCTTTACCTCCACTTGTGAGATCTTTTCTAAGCGTGCGTAATCTTCTTCTATGATCTTGGAACTACAACATTGGTCCGATGCGTCAACCTCTAGTCTTATGTCATGTAGGCCAACAAAAGTCCTTATAAGGATGCTGAAGAGCACAGATGTGCGTCCTCGATGTAAAATTTGGCCATTGATATAGGAATTGGAAGGATGTGGTCGAAACTTTCCTTGCTGATTCGCCACTTTTAAAATATCCAAGAGCTGGTTTCCTTGAGTCTTACTGCTGCAGCAATGGCCGGCCGAGCAATTTCATCAAGCGGAGGTAGATGCAAGGTCGCATTTAGGGTATATGACGACGTGGGACATCGTAAATTCGTATAATATAAACATAAAAAACAAAGGAGTCCAGACATATGGGGCTTTCTTCCAATGAGGAAGCTATATACAAACTGATTGGGATGAAGGAAAGTGTTGAAGGCATATCTGCATCTACTTTTGGATTGCCACTTTCAAGTGTGTCTAAGACCATTGTAGAACCTGAGCGAGACGAGTCAGAATGTGTAGAGTATTTAAAGGAAGTAGAAATAGAGGTACATGAGTCTCAAATAAGTCCACTTGTTACAGTCGGCAAGCTTTCGCTTCCATCACCACCAGTAAATGTAGTTCCACAAAGGAGACGTACTGGAAAGAAGCCGAAAGCATCCTCCGACGTTGTGCAAGCTGAACTAAAGATTCAGCAAGCCTTATAAGAAACAGTTACTGCAGCAGTAATGATTTTAGCAGAACATCATGAAGAGTAGAAAAGGCACTTCTAAGAGAAATTAATAATAATTAAAAGAAGTTATACATATATAGGTACATATAAGCGTTCAAAAAACAATAAAATTGTATAAAAATAATAATATAACAAAATACTTTAAATTTTCATTTTCAGCAAGTGCTCCATGATGTCATTGTGCCGTCGCATTTCAGCTATTTCTTCATTTTTAAGCCGCCGCATTCCAGCTATTTCGTCTCTTTTAAGCCTCTCCATTTCTCCGAAGTGCCTTTTCTGCTCTCCGTGATGTTCGGTTAAACTCGTAACTGCTACAGTAACTGCTTCTAGTAAGGCTTGCTGAGTCTTTAGTTCAGCTTCAGGAAGATCGGAGGATGCTTTCGGCTTCTTTACAGTAGGTCTCCTTTCTGGAACTACATTTACTGGTGGTGATGGAAGCGATGGCTCGCCGACTGTAACAAGTGGACTTATTTGAGACTCATGTATCTATTTCCACTTCCTCTAAATACNGGTGGTGATGGAAGCGATGGCTCGCCGACTGTAACAAGTGGACTTATTTGAGACTCATGTATATCTATTTCCACTTCCTCTAGATATTCTACACATTCTGACACGTCTCGCTCAGGTTCTGCAATGGTCTTAGATACACTTGAAGGTGGCAATCCAAAAGTAGACGCAGATATGCCTTCAACTCTTTCCTTCATCCCAACCAGTTTGTTTATAGCTTCCTCATTGGAAGAAAGTTTCAGTTGGGTGTTTGGGCCACTAGCCGTGGTTTTGCTGGTCGGTCCACACTGTGTAATAGTCTTTGATTATTATAAAATTTACGGAGCCGAGTTATTTATAAAAGCCGTATTTATGAACTGATTTGGTTCAA